CTCAACCTCTCCGATCATTTTCATGATGTCCATCCGGTTTGCTTCTATATGCCATATCTTTCTAACTGTGCTCTTTCCCAAAAGCTCTCAACCTATTACCTCTATACTTATTATGGACACAGTATGCTTTACATGAGTTATCTTGTTGTTATTAGTTGTCGTTAGTTGTTATTAGTCCCATCCTTCAGCTCCATTCAACACCTCCCATCTATCGCTTAACACCATCCATATTGGATTTCTATTTGCCATATATTTTTCAACTGTACTGTGATGTTTCACAAAAGTTCTGAACCCTTCTAGTTTCATTGTTTCTACAGATTGTAAATTGAAAATAAACATTTTTGCTAAAATTATTATTATAATGTATTATTGATCGATTGACTATGACTTTTCAGATCACCCAGTAGTGCTATCTGCAGGGTTAGCTCCCGGTAAATATTGCAATCCTTCAGCCATTCCTGGACCTGTGACCAAAAGCTACAAATGGACAGTACCAAAACAAATGATCTAATGATTCTATCTCTTCGCAGCAAAATCTGCAGAGCTGGGAAGATGATATGGGGGATACAAATAACATTGTATTGGTAGCAAGAATTTTGTTTAATCATTTTTATTGAAAAATTCAAAGTTTTGAAACCGGCGTCGTTTTGTATATCAGTTCATAAACACTATGCCTTGGAATCGGTACGTCAAAAATCTCTTCAACTATTTTGCAATCTATATGGGATGTCTGTCAATCCTTTGGTCCTTAAATGAAACTGGTATACTTTTTTATTTGTCACAATTTTCTTTAACCGATTATGTTCTTTAATTCAGTACTTTGTTGAAGCACCTTTGGCGGTGATTACAGCATCGAATCTTCTTGGGTATGACGCTACAAGCTAGGCACACCTGTACTTGGGGGGGGGGGGGGGGGGGGGGGGGGTTTCTCCCATTTTTCTCTGCAGATCCTCTCAAGCTCTGTCAGATTGGATGGGGAGCGTTGCTGCACAGCTATTTTCAGGTCTCTCCAGAGATGTTCGATCTGGTTAAATTCCTGGCTCTTGCTGGGCCACTCATGGACATTCAGAGACTTGTCCCGAAGCCACTCCTGCGTTGTCTTGGCTGTGTGCTTAGGGTCGCTGTCCTGTTGGAAGGTGAACCTTTGAACCAGTCTGAGGTCCTGAGCGCTCTAGAGCAGGTTTTCATAAAGGACCTCTCTGTACTTTGCTCTGTTCATCTTTCCCTCAATCCTGACTAGTCTCCCAGTCCCTGCTGCTAAAAAACATCCCCACAGCATGATGCTGCCACCACCATGCTTCACCGTAGGTATGGTGCCAGGTTTCCTCCAGACGTGACGCTTGGCATTCAGGCCAAAGAGTTCAATCTTGGTTTCATCAGACCAGAGAATCTTGTTTCTCATGGTCTGAGAGTCCTTTAGGTGTCTTTTGGCGAACTCCAAGCTGGCTGTCATGTGCCTTTTACTGAGGAGTGGCTTCCATCTGGCCACTCTACCATAAAGGCCTGGAGTGCTGCAGAGATGGCTGTCCTTCTGGAAGGTTCTCCTATCGCCACAGAGGAACTCTGGAGCTCTGTCAGAGTGACCATCAGGTTCTTGGTCACCTCCCTGACCAAGGCCGTTCTCCCCCGATTGCTCAATTTGGCCAGGCGGCCAGCTCTAGGAAAAGTCTTGGTGGTTCCAAACTTCTTCCATTTAAGAATGATGGAGGCCACTGTGTTCTTGGGAACATTCAATGCTGCAGACATTTTTTGGTACCCTTCCCCAGATCTGTGCCTTGACACATTCCTGTCTCGGAGCTCTACGGACAATTCCTTCGACCTCATGGCTTGGTTTTTGCTCTGACATGCATTGTCAACTGTGGGACTTTATATAGACAGGTGTGTGCGCCTTTCCAAATCATGTCCAATCAATTGAATTTACCACAAGTGGACTCCAATCAAGTTGTAGAAACATCAAGGATGATCAATGGAAACAGGATGCACCTGAGCTCAATTTCGAGTCTCATAGCAAAGGGTCTGAATACTTATGTCAATAAGGTATTTCTGTTTTGTATTTTCAATAAATTAGCAAACATTTCTAAAAACCTGTTTTCGCTTTGTCATTATGGGGTATTGTGTTTAGATTGATGAGGAAAAACATGTATTTAATTTTAGAATAAGGCTGTAACTTAATTTTTTTGGGAAAAAGTCAAGGGGTCTGAATACTTTCTGAATGCACTGTATATTACCACTAGTATACTACTACAAGTATTTCTATATTCCGCCTAACACGCCTACACTGACACTCTTGCACACACACTCACACTAACACCCACACACTCACACTAACACCCACACACTTACACTTGCACACCCACACTCAACACCACATACTCACCCACCCACCGCTTATGCTGCAGCCATACTGTTTACTATTATTATTTATCATAATACCATTCACTTTGTCCTAATCCCGCCTACATGTACAGTGGGGAGAACAAGTATTTGATACACTGCCGATTTTGCAGGTTTTCCTACTTACAAAGCATGTAGAGGTCTGTAATTTTTATCATAGGTACACTTCAACTGTGAGAGACGGAATCTAAAACAAAAATCCAGAAAATCACATTGTATGATTTTTAAGTAATTAATTTGCATTTTATTGCATGACATAAGTATTTGATACATCAGAAAAGCAGAACTTAATATTTGGTACAGAAACCTTTGTTTGCAATTACAGAGATCATATGTTTCCTGTAGGTCTTGACCAGGTTTGCACACACTGCAGCGGGGATTTTGGCCCACTCCTCCATACAGACCTTCTCCAGATCCTTCAGGTTTCGGGGCTGTCACTGGGCAATACGGACTTTCAGCTCCCTCCAAAGATTTTCTATTGGGTTCAGGTCTGGAGACTGGCTAGGCCACTCCAGGACCTTGAGATGCTTCTTACAGAGCCACTCCTTAGTTGCCCTGGCTGTGTGTTTTGGGTCGTTGTCATGCTGGAAGACCCAGCCACGACCCATCTTCAATGTTCTTACTGAGGGAAGGAGGTTGTTGGCCAAGGATCTCGCGATACATGGCCCCATCCATCCTCCCCTCAATACGGTGCAGTCGTCCTGTCCCCTTTGCAGAAAAGCATCCCCAAAGAATGATGTTTCCACCTCCATGCTTCACAGTTGGGATGGTGTTCTTGGGGTTGTACTCATCCTTCTTCTTTCTCCAAACACGGCGAGTGGAGTTTAGACCAAAAAGCTCAATTTTTGTCTCATCAGACCACATGCCCTTCCCCCATTCCTCCTCTGGATCATCCAGATGGTCATTGGCAAACTTCAGACGGGCCTGGACATGCGCTTGCTTGAGCAGGAGGACCTTGCGTGCGCTGCAGGATTTTAATCCATTACGGCGTAGTGTGTTACTAATGCTTTTCTTTGAGACTGTGGTCCCAGCTCTCTTCAGGTCATTGACCAGGTCCTGCCGTGTAGTTCTGGGCTGATCCCTCACCTTCCTCATGATCATTGATGCCCCACGAGGTGAGATCTTGCATGGAGCCCCAGACCGAGGGTGATTGACCGTCATCTTGAACTTCTTCCATTTTCTAATAATTGCGCCAACAAGTTGTTGCCTTCTCATCAAGCTGCTTGCCTATTGTCCTGTAGCCCATCCCAGCCTTGTGCAGGTGTACAATTTGATCCCTGATGTCCTTACACAGCTCTCTGGTCTTGGCCATTGTGGAGAGGTTGGAGTCTGTTTGATTGAGTGTGTGGACAGGTGTCTTTTATACAGGTAACGAGTTCAAACAGGTGCAGTTAATACAGGTAATGAGTGGAGAACCAGAGGGCTTCTTAAAGAAAAACTAACAGGTCTGTGAGAGCCAGAATTCTTACTGGTTGGTAGGTGTTCAAATACTTATGTCATGCAATAAAATGCAAATTAATTACTTAAAAATCATACAATGTGATTTTCTGGATTTTTGTTTTAGATTCCGTCTCTCACAGTTGAAGTGTACCTATGATAAAAATTACAGACCTCTACATGCTTTGTAAGTAGGAAAACCTGCAAAATCGGCAGTGTATCAAATACTTGTTCTCCCCACTGTATGTACTGTATACCTCAAATACTCCAGTATCCCTGCACATTGTACATTTGGTACTGGCACTGACCCTGTATATAGCTTCCACTCTTATTTATTCTGTTTTCTTTATTATATGTATTTTGTATTTTTGAAATTATAATATTTTGATATTTATTACTGCACTGTTGGGTAGAGCTCACAAGATAAGCATTTCTCTGTACTTGTGCATGTGACAAAACTTCAGAGAAACTGCACGCTGGAGAAGCACACACTCAGTGTAGTTCATTGAAGTTCACCAGTCCCAATTCAAATACTTCTTCCAGATATCTGGATATCTGCATGCTCGATACACACATTAAGTTCTGTTCACTTTATCAGAGCTGGCACTAATCTGTGTATGAAATGTGATGGCAGGAGTACAGCATTCTTTCATGGGGGTACATTCTATAAAATAGTCTGTTAAACAAGCATTTAACTTGTTCTGATTGGCATATGAAGCAATGTTTTTCACCCCAAAATGAACCTTTGCCAGGTGTTTTCATGGTGTCAAGTTTCTCCATTTATTTGCGACTGAAATTAAGGCCTTATTGCAGCATCTATACGCAACATGTTTAATGTACATGTTTTCCTCATCAGTCTACAGAATCTACATTTACATTTACGTCATTTAGCTGACGCTCTTATCCAGAGCGACTTACAGTTAGTGCATACATTATTATTTTCATACTGGCCCCCTGTGGGAAACGAACCCACAACCCTGGCGTTGCAAACGCCATGCTCTATCAACTGAGCTACCTCCCTGCCTGCCATTCCCTCCCCTACCCTGGACGACGCTGGGCCAATTGTGCGCCGCCCCATTGGTCTCCCGGTTGCAGCCGGCTACAGCCTATATGTTTATTGTGCTCACCTTCTCTCCTCCTTTGACACTGAGGGTGAGGTTCTTCAGGACCAGCTCCAGTCCTTCTCTGTACCTCACGCTGTAGTCACTGAACTCTACGTTCCCCTGGGACGGCCAATCAGACGAAGGCTTCTTGTCCTCCACCTCCCATGGAGCCTAGCAACATACACATACAAAATTATACACAATACGCTTTATACACATTTGCAATTCGGTCCACATTTGCAGAAGTTGAGGACAGCCATATTTCAGAAACAAACACGCATGCACACTATAAACTCAATCACATGATCAGTAAAGAGGGTGGCATACTTGTTGGGGGTAATAAACAAAGTGGTCTGAAATGTATAGCATACTAGTGCCCAGCCGCCCAACATCAAAGGTAGGCCCTACATGGCACATAGATCTAGTTATACTTTTATTAGTCTTTTATGGTTATGATTGTGAGTTTGACTTGGCAGCCAAACAGCCCAAAGAATGTGTGTAAATTCCAGATGATTTTTTATGGATTATTTTCCTGGCAAACAGCATGAACAATGTTTCTCTATTAAGAGCAAATAAAAACACACTTCGAATGCCAATTTATAAAAAAAACTAAAAACATTTACAGAACTCAGGTGGTCAGTAAGTAACAAACAGCGGGCAACAACAATATTTCCACTGTCGCTTTCTCTTGTACTTTTGAGCGATTAGACCTGGTTCATTTCCATATGTAATGTACTATCCTAGTAAGCATTGTGTGTATGTATTTCTTTGTACCTCAGTCTTGGTCTCAGAGTACTCCATGACTCTCTCCACGGCTACAATGTTGCTCTCCAGATCTGACGTCATCCTCACCATCCAGTTCAGAGACATGGTCACCTGTTACAAGGACAACACAGTAGCATGAGTGATGGTTATGGGAGAAAACACATGCATGTCATTAAGCTATCAGCCTGAAGTGTCCCCACTTGCGCTGCCGAATAACTTAACCTAGTGTAGCAGAAGGGGATCTTTGAAACTCACACCTCAGCCTGAAGTGTCCCCACTTGCGTTGCTGAATAGCTAACTTTTTGGTGGGGCGACTGGGTAAGACGTTTCAGGAAGGCGGTCACGTGTGTTTGCAAGGCAGAGGTCCTGGGTTCGAGCCTCGGTATGAGCTGAATCAGGAAGAAGCAGTACTCGCCAAGCAAGCAGTGTGACGTCCTTTACACTAGCACTACTGAATAACAGTGGCAGGCAATGGACAACATTTGCAACAGACAGTTAAACGGACAGTAGATGTTGATAGGGGACATGTTGTACTGTACCAGTAGAGCGTAGGACACAGAGAGTCCCACCAGTCCAGGGTTGAGCTTGTCCTTCCCGATCACAGCAAACAGAGCAGCAAACAGCACGATGCAGTTCCCAATGAACTCTATACGCACCCCTAACCACCTACACACACACAGACACAGACACACACATCGTGAACACAACACACAGTTTGAGCAGCGCTGACGCACAGTGTGTTTCTACACAGTAGTTACACTGAACCTGCCTATGTAACTACACTGAACAAAAATATAAAACGTAACATGTAAAGTGTTGGTCCCATGTTTTATGAGCTGAAATAAAAGATCCCCAAAATATTCCATAGGCACAAAAAGCTTATTTCTCTCAAATTGTTTACATCCCTGTTAGTTAGAATTTCTCATTTGCCAAGATAATCCATCCACCTGGCATATCAAGAAGCTGATTAAACAGCATGAGCATTACACAGGTGTACCTTGTGCTGGGGACAATAAAAGGCCACTCTAAAATGTGCAGTTTTGTCACACAACACAATGCCACAGATGTCTCAAGTTGAGGGAGCGTACAATTGGCATGCTGACTGCAGGAATGTCCACTACAGCTGTTGCCAGAGAATTGAATGTTAATGTCTCTACCATAAACCGCCTCCAACATCGTTTTAGAGAATTTGGCAGTATGTCCAACCGGCCTCACAACAACAGACCACGTGTAACCACACCAGTCCAGGACCTCCACATCCGGCTTCTTCACCTGCGGGATCATCTGAGACCAGCCACACGGACAGCTGATGAAACTGAGGAGTATTTATCTCTGTAATAAAGCCCTTTTGTGGGGAAAAAACTCATTCTGATTGGCTGGGCCTGGCTCCCCAGTGGATGGGCCTATGCCCTCCCAGGCCCACCCATGGCTGCGCCCCTGCCCAGTCAAGTGAAATCCATAGATTAGGGCCTAATGAATTTATTTCAATTGACTGATTTCCTTCTATGAACTGTAACTCAGTAAAATCGTTGAAATTGTTGCATGTTGTGTTTATATTTTTGTTCAGTGTACATTACCATGCAAATACATAGATTAGATACAGTATTTTGAGCACTTATTGTAAAGTGGGACACTCATGTCTTATGTACTTTGCGATGGAATGTGTAATTGTGCCTGTTGAGCATGCTTTCAACATGAGCACCAGTCAGTGGCTATGTTCCAATCCTCAAAATCCAATGGACAGACAAATACCGTACACTGAATGAATCCGTCATTTTGAAAAGAGAATCCTAGGGCCCTTGGGATCATTACCCAGAACCTTCAGATCAGCAGTAGCCAAAAAAGGGAGCGAGGAAAGGAAGCAAATGAAGACTTTTACATTGGAGTTATTTAGCAGACGCTCAAGGGCACATCGGCATATTTTCCACCTAGTCGGCTCGGGGATTCGAACCAGCGACCTTTCGGTTACTGACCCAATGCTCTTAAGGCTAGGCAACCTGCCGCCCCAAAGTCAATTGGAACACAGCCACTGTCTTCCAGAGTCCATAGTGAAAGTACAGTAACAGATAGACACCACCTACCTGTTGGACACTATACCAGGGTAGTAACTCTTTTGGTTCTCATCCACCTTCATATCACTCATTAGTACAAAGGCATTGTGTCTGCCATAGGCTCTGATAACACTAGAGCCAGTGACGGTCTCAGAGAAATGGGAGTATATAGGAGACCTGCTGACCGACTCCAGACGCTTTAACTGCCGAGACGTGGCCACATAAAATCTCTACAGCCGTGGGGAAGAGAGACAAACACAGCATTATATAGTAACTGAACACTGGGATACAAGCTGTAACAGTGAGCAACTAGGAAGCGCACACTGCAGTAACACTATAGTAAGGTCAGGGTTCACAAAACATCTGCAGAGTTCCTTTGATAGATTAATAGAGTAATAGATTCATTTGATAGTGATAGATATCATATTTAATATTCATATTTAGCTACCGTTTACATGAATTATCATAATGCCATTTCTTGAACTCTGCGGATGCTCTTTCCACCTGGCCCAAAAAGCATTCTACGAAATAAGGTATATTTAATTTGATTATCAAATCAATTTATAAATCATCCAGTACTAAACACATTTGATTAAAATTTAAAAATCAACACTTCAATTTCCATTAGTGCTCAAATGCCATCATAATATTGTAGTGTATGGTTTGGCTTTTAAATGTTAACACTGTAAAACATTATTAAGGTAAAACTCATACATGTAGAATAATTAAAGTCCCAGTGAGTAAGAAATTCCCCTTTTCAATGACACATGGAGAAGGTAAATAAAAGACCATGCAGATAAAAATCAAAAAGGAGAAGGAATATATGCAGATGTTAGATGATGGCAACCCAGTTTACAGCATTGAAGTTCCAGTTAGCAGGCATCTCACAGAAGCACATGTGAACACACAGAAACCCGCTTATATTCACCCTAAAGAACTACAGTTTCAAATGTATCACCGGCAGAAATATATAGAGCCCGACCAATATGTTTTTCTTGGTCCGATACCAATTCCGATTTATTAGGGGACAAAACTTAACAATATACAGTGGATTAAGTTTCTATAGCCAAGATACGCTGATAAGCTCCAGGGAGTTGGCATTGGCAATGGCAATGGCTACAGCCTGCCATGAAGTAGACTAACACACACACACTGGGATTTTTCTGCCATTGAAATCCTTGGGCAGTGTTTTTTCAGGTCACCTAAATCCAAACAGTGAAATTCATTTTTGGGATGGAAAAATGCTTTCAGTGTAAACTTAAATGACAAAAACCAGATTAAAGGTATGTAGAAATGGACCTATATATTTTTTTATTATATAATCTTTGAGAACTAACAATTGTCAATTCCAAAACAATGAATTTAGTAGTATATCTAGAACACAGCAATTAGCCATGGCTAAATGCAAAGAATTGCGGAAAATTAGCTTTAAAACTGCAACATTTTCTCTCAGCTGTATGGCATAATGTGTACAATTGCAGGAAATTGGCTTAAAAATGCAAAAATGTCTCTACACTGCCAAGATGGGGACCTCTAAAATGTTCTCTAAAATTCAGCCGCACCTGTGGGCCGACCGCGCACCTTGCCATGCCCACCACCTAAGCCCCTTTTCGATCCAGAAAAAACCCTGCACACACAAATCAAATTGTATTTGTCACATGCTTCGCAAACAACAGGTGTAGACTAACAGTGAAATGCTTACTTACGGGTCCTTTTCCAACAATGCAGAGTTAAAGATAAAGATAAAAAATATACAGTACCAGTCAAAAGTTTGGACACACCTACTCATGCCAGGGTTTTTCTTTCTTCATTTTTTACTATTTTCTACATTGTAGAATACTATTGAAGACATCAAAACTATGAAATAACACATGGAATCATGTAGTAACCAAGAAAGTGTTCAACAAATCAAAATATATTTTATATTTGAGATTCTTCAAATAGCCACCCTTTGCCTTGATGACAGCTTTACACACTCTTGGCATTCTCTTAACCAGCTTCACCTAGAATGCTTTTCCAACAGTCTTGAAGGAGTTCCCACATATGCTGAGCACTTGATGGCTGCTTTTCCTTCACTCTGCGGTCCGACTCATCCCAAACCATCTCAATTGGGTTGAGGTCGGGGGATTGTGGAGGCCAGGTCACCTGATGCAGCACTCCATCATTCTCCTTCTTGGTCAAATAGCCCTTACACAGCCTGGAGGTGTGTTGGTTCATTGTCCTGTTGAAAATCAAATGATAGTCCCACTAAGCCCAAACCAGATGGGATGGCGTATCGCTGTAGAACGCTGTGGTAGCCATGCTGGTTAAGTGTGCCTTGAATTCAAAAAAATATATATCACAGACAGTGTCACCAGCAAAGCACCCCCACACCATAACACCTCCTCCTCCATGCTTTACGGTGGGAACTACACATACGGAGAGCATCTGTTCACCCACACCACGTCTCACAAAGACACGGCGGTTGGAATAAACAATCTCCAATTTGGACTCCAGACCAAAGGACAAATGTCCATTGCTCGTGTTTCTTGGCCCAAGCAAGTCTCTTCTTCATATTGGTGTCCTTTAGTAGTGGTTTCTTTGTAGCAATTCGACCATGAAGGCCTGATTCACACTGTCTCCTCTGAACAGTTGATATTGAGATGTGTCTGTGACTTGAACTCTGTGAAGCATTTATTTGGGCTGCAATTTCTGAGGCTGGTAACTCTAATGAACTTATCCTCTGCAGCAGAGGTAACTCTGGGTCTTCCATTCCATTTTACATTACATTTACATTTTAGTCATTTAGCAGACGCTCTTATCCAGAGCGACTTACAGTTAGTGAATACATATTTTTGTATTTTTTTTGTAATACTGGCCCCCCATGGGAATCGAACCCACAACCCTGGCGTTGCAAACGCCATGCTCTATCAACTGAGCTACATCCCTGCCGGCCATTCCCTCCCCTACCCTGGACGACGCTGGGCCAATTGTGCGTCGCCCATGAGTCTCCCGGTCGCGGCCGGCTGCGACAGAGCCTGGATTCGAACCAGGATCTCTAGTGGCACAGTTAGCACTGCGATGCGGCGCCTTAGACCACTGCGCCACTCAGGAGATTCCTGTGGCGGTCCTCATGAGAGCCAGTTTCATCATTGCGCTTGATGGTTTTTGCGACTGCATTTGAAGAAACTTTCAAAGTTCTTGAAATGTTCTGTATTGACTGACCATCATGTCTTAAAGTAATAATGGACTGCCATTTCTCTTTGCTTATTTGAGCTGTTCTTGACATAATATGGACTTGGTGTTTTACCAAATAGGGCTATCTTCTGTATACCCCCCCCTACCTTGTCACAACAAAACTGATTGGCTCAAACGCATTAAGGAAAGAAATTCCACAAATTAACTTTTAAGAAGGCACACCTGTTAATTGAAATGCATTCCAGGTGACTACTTCATGAAGCTGGTTGAGAGAATGCCAAGAGTGTGCAAAGCTGTCATCAAGGCAAAGGGTAGCTATTTCAAGAATCTCAAATATAAAATATATTTTGATTTGTTTAACACTTTTTTGGTTACTACATGTGTTATTTCATAGTTTTGATGTCTTCGCTATTATTCTACAATGTAAAAAATAGTACAAATAAAGAAAAACCCTTGAATGAGTAGGTGTGTCCAAACTTTTGACTGGTAGTGTGTATATATATAATAAATAGTGACACGAGAATATAATACACAGTGAAAAACTAATAACAATAATGAGTCAAAATAACATGGCTATATAAAGGGAGTATCAGTACGTAGCTATGTACATATACAGTGGGGAGAACAAGTATTTGATACACTGCCGATTTAGCAGGTTTTCCTACTTACAAAGCATGTAGAGGTCTGTACATTTTATCATAGGTACACTTCAACTGTGAGAGACGGAATCTAAAACAAAAATCCAGAAAATCACATTGTATGATTTTTAAGTAATTAATTTGCATTTTATTGCATGACATAAGTATTTGAGCACCTACCAACCAGTAAGAATTCCAGCTCTCACAGACCTGTTAGTTTTTCTTTAAGAAGCCCTCCTGTTCTCCACTCATTACCTGTATTAACTCCACCTGTTTGAACTCGTTACCTGTATAAAAGACACCTGTCCACACACTCAATCAAACAGACTCCAACCTCTCCACAATGGCCAAGACCAGAGAGCTGTGTAAGGACATCAGGGATCAAATTGTAGACCTGCACAAGGCTGGGATGGGCTACAGGACAATAGGCAAGCAGCTTGGTGAGAAGGCAACAACTGTTGGCGCAATTATTAGAAAATGGAAGAGGCTCAAGATGACGGTCAATCACCCTCGGTCTGGGGCTCCATGCAAGATCTCACCTCGTGGGGCATCAATGATCATGAGGAAGGTGAGGGAGCAGCCCAGAACTACACGGCAGGACCTGGTCAATGACCTGAAGAGAGCTGGGACCACAGTCTCAAAGAAAACCATTAGTAACACACTACGCCATCATGGATTAAAATCCTGCAGTGCACGCAAGGTCCCCCTTCTCAAGCCAGCGCATGTCCAGGCCCGTCTGAAGTTTGCCAATGACCATCTGGATGATCCAGAGGAGGAATGGGAGAAGGTCATGTGGTCTGATGAGACAAAAATTGAGCTTTTTGGTCTAAACTCCACTCGCCGTGTTTGGAGGAAGAAGAGGGATGAGTACAACCCCAAGAACACCATCCCAACCGTGAAGCATGGAGGTGGAAACATCATTCTTTCATTCTTCTTTTCTGCAAAGGGGACAGGACATTTTCTGGATTTTTGTTTTAGATTCTGTCTCTCACAGTTGAAGTGTACCTATGATAAAAAAATTACAGACCTCTACATGCTTTGTAAGTAGGAAAACCTGCAAAATCGGCAGTGTATCAAATACTTGTTCTCCCCACTGTATCTGCCGATATACTGTTTTACAGCGATCCAAAAGAGCCATTGTCCAATAACTATGCTTCAAATGTTGATTTCATATATCGTGACAAGAATGTATACAAATATTCTCATTCTGAGAATGGCCGCAAGTGTTCAGAAAAGCATGAGATTCCCATTATTTTATCCTATTTACTGAATATCGGTTAATGTTTGAATTATCATCTGATACCAATATAGCGGTAAAAGGCCAATATCGGCCGATAATATTGTTGAACTGATATATCAATCGGGCTCTAGAAATATATCAGTTTTCCAACTTCAGGAAACTGCTAGGTACTGTACAATCGTTAAAGGAAATTGCCAAGCACAAAACCAAGCACAAGCCCCAATAGCCCTCAGCGAAACATCCAAACCCAGATACTACAAACTACACAATTTTCTAGTCAGGATCATGTCATCTCTTTAGATCTTTTCAATCAATCTGATCGGAAGGGTGAAAGGAGGTGATTGCTTGGAGCCAGGACATGGTGCATTTCAAACTGATCAAAATCAGATCAAGACCAGTCATGTCAATTGATCATTATCATTAACCAGCAATCTGAAGCAGCCTTGTGGCTCCTATCAAATGTCGTAATTTTGTGGCTCAAATCTCCAGACACACACAAAAGAAAACACATTACAAAGCCATAGGAACCTTAATGAGCCAAACCATCTTAGCGTGTTAGTAGTAGATAAAATGATTGCCAAACCGTTATTCAAAACAAATGGATGCTAAATGGATGTTGGATGATTTGAAGTTTAACTGATTAGGATGAGTTATAAACAGCGGAATGAACATTCTGTAACCATGATGACACGATAATACCTATTCCTATTCCCCCACACACACACACACTACAGTATTCACTACAGATACCGAACAGCTGCTCACCATCTACCCCCAGTTGTTTACCTGCACTGATTCAGTCAAATTCAAAATTCAGTGCATCAAATTATCATAGTGAAGCCAAGTCAATAGAATATCAACAATAGTGTTTCTAATGACATTTGCTGAGGTTCCAGATCCATATACCTTGGGGTGGTGTTTAGTAGAACAGCCGTTCCACACAAACCAAACAACTAGAGATTGGAGCCTTAGCCTACAGACTGAACCTCCACTCACTAGTCTTCTACTGTATCTACCCACCAACCAAACCACACTGCCACTACAACACTAAGACAACTAGACAATGAGAATGATGGTCACATCTACCACAGCAAACTGCACACACAACAACAGCAATCTACCAGCCACACACACACAACACACTCTCAGTCACGCTGTATTAGAGTTATTAATGAGTTGTGTCCTATTTACCTGGACCCACCAATAGAACACCATTAACGGCACTATGACTAGAAGGAACAGAGGGGTGAGGGCAGAGCATACGATCAGCACATTCACTGTGTACCAGAAAGTGCGCATCCATATATCAATATTGTCTGGGATGTGCGAGTCTATAATATCCACGTCTTTGCTGAAGCGGTTTAGGACGCGCCCCGTGGGGGTGCTCTCGAAGAAGCCCTGGGGTGCCCTCAGCACCCTCTGGAGCATGTAGAGGTGCATGAGTTTGGCTGCCCGCAGCATGCTGTAGGCCTTGGACAGCAGACAGTTGGCCAGCAACAGCACACCTGGGAGAGGGGGAGGGGCACAGGTGACAACCACACTACTGTTAAATGGATCTCTATCTCTCTCTCTCTCTCCCTCCCTCCCTCCCTCCCTCCCTCCCTCCCTCCCTCCCTCCCGCCCACTGGTATAGAAGCCTTTGGCACAAAATGACCCTAATATTCACATCCTGGGTCAAACGCTAAAGGCACTGCATGGAAACCCTGAATACCAATACCCTGTAGAGTTGGACAAGAAACAAAAGAACCTCAAACTCTCTAATGTGCGGCTGGATAACTGTAGCATCATCCTACTTGCCTTTCCATTCATTCACTGCTAGAGGGCAGCAGCACACCAGAGTTCTCATGTTTCCTGTAAGCACAAATCTAAAACCCTCGCCTTTAGATCAGGTCTGGGGGCAACATCCTACGCCACTCTAGTCTAAATCAATGTTCTCCAGCTACACTACATTCTCCAGTGTGTCCCTGAGAAGGATGTTGGGTTGTAAAGAACACACAGTAGTGTTCTGAGCTCTCAGCTTGACCGCCTCAGAGGGCCAGAGTCAACAAACACAACTCAGCTCAGCTGAACTGAAGCCTCCTTCACTACTGTGTGTACACAGCACCGGCTGTGGGTGAACCAACCCTGCTGTGTGTGTGTGTGTGTGTGTGTGGAGGGGGGGGTTGGGGGGGGCAGGGCAGGAAGTGCTATAGGGCCGCTGAGAGGGAGAGAGAGGAAGTTAATGCATGGTTAGGGGAGAGGAGAGGAGACAGGGAGGAGGAGGAGAGCAAATGCTCAACGGATAACAGGAACACAAAAAGCTGCAGAGAAACAGAAAGCCAAAGGTCACAGAAACTGCTCCAACAATCAGGGTGCTGCATGCTGCATTCAGGAGCATAAGCAACCCACTTTGGCACAAATTGAAATGAAAGGTATTACTTGACACCATAAACTCCTGCCCTAGAGAGTAGAGCAACCAACCATTAGCTCTTCAGAACAGAACCAATACCTGGACAAAGACGTATATGAAAGCCAGCGGGGCTATGACCACAGCGAAGATGGGGGTGCTGGCCACTATGACTATCATGGTGGAGAGAGAGGAGAAGAACGTCCCGAGGAACATGAGAACGGTAGAGGGCAGTGCCTCGTCGATGACGTAGATGTCCTTAGAGAAGCGGTTGATGACCCTGCCTATGGGGGTGGTGTCAAAGAAAGACTGGGGGGTGTGAAACTTGTTGTCTAGGAGGGCATAGTGGAGCTTCCTGGCTGCTCCGATGTTCCCCATGGCCAGGGTGTAGGAGGAGACCATGACCAGTAGCCCTGAAATGGAGGGAGGAGGAAGAGAGGGAGGGAGCGGGGAGATGAGGGTTGAGGAGACAGTGGGTTCTATATGTGTCCCCTCTCCTGAATGTTGAGACCCTTTTCAATACAATTCAAATCAAGCTCCCAGTGTTACTGAAAAGGACCTGAGGTGTTGAGGCCAAGGTCCTCACACAAAACCAACCACTCATAGTTAGCTTCATACAGTAATAAAGTAAAACATACAATGTTCATATACACAGCAAAACCTACAACAACAAAACCTCTCTTTGGCACAAATGACCCAAACACCACAGACAAATTGTATTATTGAATATTGAACTGTAAAGGTACTTTCAGTCATCTTAAGGTGGATAGGTATCCTTATCCTAAGGTAATGAACAGCAGGTCTCCTCACCTTGTGCCATGCCCAAAGCAGCATACACCCCCACCCTCATACTGACATTCTCCTGGGTCACGTTCTGAGCTGCGTCATTGGTCCACTGGCTCAGCCAGACATTGGCTCCAATGGCGGCAGCACTCTGGCAGCCATACAGGAAACAGATGAAGAGGGACAGCAGAGGCCCTACTGCCTTGGCATACTCCCAGAACACCTTGATCTTCACCTGAGGACAGGGAGGAGAGGGAGGTTAGAGGTCAGGGGTTAGAGATCAGAGTCTCTACAGCTTTGGAATACTCCCAGAACCCCTTAATCTTCACCTGAAGAGAGGGAGGAGACAGAGGTTAAAGGTCAGGAGTAAGAGGTTAGACGTCAGAGACCGTACTGTCTCGGAATACACCCAGAACAACTTCACCTGGGGGTAGGAGAGAGTAGAAGTCTACATCTTCAATCAAATTTACTAAACTATGTATCCCAATAGCTCTACTCACCCTGCCTGTCTCAGCGGTCTCTGCCTGGATGAGTTTCTCCACCTTCGGTAGTTTCTTCTCTGGGTCAGACTCAGCATGCTTCCTCTCGCTGCACAGACGCTTCCGGACAGACCTGCTCTTCGGGTTCTCCAGGTCCCCTGAGATGATGCTGATCTGCCTGCAGGGAGGGAGGAAGTGATTGATCGGTCAATCAATCGTTGTGTATATCATACTTTTCAAAAATACATTAGTCCAAAGCCCCATAAAATATGGCATTTATCTATTAAAGAGGGGGTAAAACATACCTTAGTCCCTTCAGAATTTTGCGACTCTGAGATCGCAGAATCTTTTGCAAAATCAACAATCCCTTCATATTAAGCGAGGGCTTGCAATTTTAAACAAACACTGCATTTTTACCAAATAAAATGGTTCAATCAAACAACACTTTAACAAACTTTTCCCCTGTCAGCTTGGGTGACCACATGTCCCGGATTGTGCGGGACAGTACTGCATTTTGGCCCTTTGTACCGCAACCAAACAATCATGTTCTGCATTTTATCAACAAATTAAAACACCACTAATTTACAAAAAAAGGTTGATTTGGCCTTTATTTTATTCAGACTTCCCATTCATTTGATGAGAATTGACATTCCAACCTCTCACTTTTGCAGTCACATTGTGCTTATGACAAGATATATACCATAAGGATGTGGTGGTGGTGATGTTAAACACACTCCAATCTGTGTTGAGATCTGATATTCTGCGCAGTGCAAGACGAGACGCCAATGTCATATTGTCAACCAATCACATTTGTCAAATCTTTTCAGGCTAAATTCCAGCTGAACTTGGAGAGGACAGTTATAACAACTTACAAAAAGTGTGCTTCTAACAAAGAGCTACAAAATAAGTAAATAGCTGTATTAGACAGAAAGATATAAGTTAACTTGTGAGGCTCTCCATGCTCATTAGTTGCTCATTCAACATATTTGCTGCTACTTCACTCAATCCCATTTTAAAAGTCTCCCTTCCTAATTGTTGTACATTCCCTGAGACCAACCAGAAACCTTTCCTTGGCCAAATATTCCCCGATTTTCATAACAACCACACGTGGTCTATCGTTTCTGCATCACCACATTATGCGCGAGGCAAACGAGGTGTGCTTCAATTCACTCGCTTGGTGCAGCGGGAGGGGGATTTTTGCCCGGGGGAGGTGCCCCCGTTGACCCGCATTTGGGTATTTTAAATGACCCTACTGACACATTTTATAAAAACATCGCAAATTGGCATGCAAAATGTCCGAATTGCCGCAACAAAATCAAGCATTTTGGCCCGCAACTATCACAAAAAAACACATAAGTATCCTGGAGGGACTGCCTTATGAACTGTTACAGAGACTTATAAGTACCTTATGAACTGTCTCTTTGCCTCATTGACCACTGGTTCATTGTCCACCATGTCTGTATGGTTGCTAAGGGCGTCGTCAGGGAAGTCTTCTTCTTCGTCAATCAAAGCCTCTGTGGGTGTTGAGTCACAGTGTTACCGTGGTAATTATGGAGCAGGTGTACACACTCCTAGAGATGTAGGGCATACTGGGTATGTAGGGTTTTGTTCCAACCCTACTCTAACAAACCTGAATCAGCTAATCAGCCAGTAGCTTGCACACCCAGTAGCCTTCAAGGACACATGTTGGCAGGCACTGGTGTAGGGGGATTAGTGGAACCCCAAGGGCATTAACATCAATAGTATCTGCCCTTCTGCTTTAGCCCTCAAATTCAAATCTGGACCTCGAAGCCAGTTCCACTGCTTTTGTTCATTCTTCCCCTCTAATCAGGGACCAATTTAAACCTGGGACCCCTTACAGAACACTGGGGGGGGGGGGGGGGGGGGGGGTGTATGTGGTTTTTCTGTAAGGGACACCAAGTGGGTGCAATTAATTAGCAGGAAGTGGAACAGAAAACCAGCAGTGCTACGGACCTCGTAGGGTAAGATTTAAATACCCCTGTGCTATACTAGCAGGTAGTTCTACCTGTTGCCTCGTCCTCCTCGATGATGTCCTCCAGGGAATAGTTCCTGAGGAACTCAGCGAATGCTCCGTTCTGTTTGAGCAGCTCCTGGTACGAGCCCATCTCTGACACCCTGCCCTCCACCATCACCACTATGTTATCCACCTGCGGCAGGAAGCTGATGCCGTGCGTCACCAGGATACGTGTCTTGAGGGAAACGAAAAGAGGATCTGTCATGAAGGCTGGGAATTGCCAGGGATCTCACAATACTTTATTATCACGATACTTAGGTGCCGATATGTATTGTGATTCTATACGTTTCACTATTCTATATGTATTGCAAATAGATACTGCGATTTTATTGCAATTCGATGTTCTAAAATAACTGCTTCTGGGTTAAGCGGGCATTGTGTCAAGAAGCAGTGCGGCTCTCGACTTTTTCCCCCATCCCTTACTGTCATGTTAGTTCACTTATTCTTAGTGTATTTCTCTCTGCTATCACTCAGAATGTGTCTCTCTTCTTCTGTAGTGTATGGAGAACAGAGCAGAGTGACTACTCTCCTCACCTTGCCCTGCAGTGCCCCCTCTGGGCCAATGACGTGGTCGAAGATGTGTTTGGCCACGTGGGCGTCCACGGCAGAGAGAGGGTCGTCCAGCAAGTAGACATCGGCCTCGTTGTACAGAGCTCTGGCCAGACTCACCCTCTGTCTCTGACCACCCGATAGGTTGATACCCTGAGAGAGAGAGAATGGGGACAGAGAGGGGGAGGGGGTGGGGGAGGGGAGAGAGAGAGAGAGAGAGAGGGGGGAGAGAGATCAATGGAAGCATTCTACAGACACAAGCAAATCACTGATCTCAAAAGAAGTTGCTTTGTTTGAGACTCGAAGACTCATCTTAGCTCCTAGAGCTGATACCTTTAGTTGTGGGCTAACATGACCGTTAGCCTCAAAAAACAACCCAGGTTAGATTCTATTCCATCTCCCTACCTTCTCTCCGATCTCGGTCAGGTCTCCTCCAGGTAGTACTTCCAGGTCCGGGGTCAAGGCGCAGGCCTCCAGACAACAGTGGTACTTCTGCTCGTTGTAGGCTTTGCCAAATAGGATGTTGTCTCTCAGAGTGGCATTCTGGATCCAGGCTTGCTGGGGGACGTAGGCCACCGAACCCTGAAACGAGAGAAGGAGGGAGAGAACTCAGTACAGCTGAAAACTACAACTAGACCCAAACAATCAATCAATAAAGCAATCGACCCACTAATCAATTACTCAATCAAGCAAATGACCCACTAATCAATCAATCAATCAACCTTCAGTTAGCATAATTGAATTCAGTGGAAATACCCGTATGGAGATGTCTCCCTCCATTTTCTCCATCTCTCCCAGTAGAGCTGACACCAGAGAAGACTTTCCACAGCCTACATGTCCTACCACAGCTAGCAGTGAGCCCTGGGGCACCATCAGGTTTATACTGGGACACACACACACACACACACACATACAGTCAGTGCATTCTTTCCCTTGAATAGTTATTGTCCTTTGCATGATGCAACTTGCCAACTTACTTGTGTAGAGCAGGATGATCTTGTTTTGCCCAGGTGAACGTCCCATTGACAACAGTCACTGAGCTATCTGAAGGGGAGAATGCAGTGCACTTACAAAAACAGGAACCATGACACAGCATTACCAAACTGGTAAGTCAAAATCACTCAGCGACACAAACTGGCTCAGAGCCAAAAACAGAGGGAGTTACAAAAGGAAAAGCGATGACTGTGGAATCCAGCCATCTAAATCCCTTAAGTCACCTCAATTTACAGTCTAAAATGTTAATATTACAAAAGCCAAGAGTAATAACGATGCAAAACTGAAATGGATTACAAAATCCCTCATAGTTCCTTATTGAAAACCCAACCGCCTACAATAATGGCAGGCAGTGGCGCCATGGTAACGGCCCATGTAAGGATGACTCAGCAGTAACCATAGAATTAGGAATTAGAATAGTAATTTAATAGGATCTCTTTGGCAGAAACATAGACCATTAGAATGCCTCAGAGGCCCCATCCCATTAGCCTTCTTCTATACCATCCCTTCATGTCAGTGAAAACCTAAGGGGTAACGGAAGGGCCTAGGGGGTGAAATGGAACCAGCCCAGCCAAGTTCAGGGTGGTTCCTTCTTCAGCTGGTTCAATGTTTACCTGTGGCAGTGTTATTCCGGTCCACAGACTCTGGGTCCAGCTCATCATGACTCAGGAAATCCTGGATACGCTTCAGGGACACGCTGGCCTTGGAGTAGCAACAGAGTCAACACATGCACACACACACACACAACGCAAAAGCATGCACAACATCCACAGGAGGAATGAGAGAAGGTATAAGAGGAGGAGTGAGAGAAAGAGGAATGAGAGAAGTAGGAGAAAGAGAAAATATTGCGAGGAGTGATACAAGGAGAGAAAAGAAGGAGTAAGAGAATGATAGAGGAGGAGAAGAGCCTACCTGCACGATACTGCTGATGACTTGGGGCAACATATTGAGAGGGAATCGTAAGATGTTGAACAGAGACAAAGATACAAAGGCTTTCTCCGCGTCTAAAATGTTATTTTTATCCACAGTCACATATACTGCAAACGTTGTCAAGGCAACCTGAGGAGACATAAAAAAAAAAAGCATGGAAATAGATCGTCTGGACAGTTCATTGATCTGCAGCTTTCAGTTGCACTATCTCCATCTAAAATACCTAGCTAATAGTCTTACAAAGAAATACATCAAAGCGTTAACCTTCCTTCAAAGTGATATAGCGCGTAAAACAAGGATAATATAGGTGTGTGTGTGTGTGCGTGCCATAGTGTGTCCCGTACTAGGAATGGTGCACTGGTCCATGCCATGGTAGACACGGCACTGAGGTAGGCCGTCTTGCGGAGCATATTGAGCTCTTTCTGTCTGATCTCCAGAACCTTGTCTTTAAAGGAGTTCTCCCATGCGTACAACTTCAACACTTTGATCCCGTTCAGAATCTCGTTCATCAGTTTGATGCGAGCGTCCTTGTACTGCATCTGCTCCACCTTAGAGACAAAAGGAGAGGGGTGGAGAGAGGGAGGGGAGGAGACAGACAGAGGATATGTCAAAACAATGCTACTTTAGAGATGAAGACCACTTGGCTGTCGAAACGTTGGTAAATAAATGATTGCATCGGAGCAACTAGTGTGCAGCGTTTCCTTTTCTTTTAAAATACTGTATTTTAACACTCGTTAAAAGAGGCTTAGAGATAGCTGCTCAAAGACAAAAAAAGCACAAACATCTCCAAGCAAACTGACACACCACAAACAGAGTTTTTGAAGCACAGAGGCGCAAAAAAGGTACAGAACACTTCACTCATCTTTCCACCCACAAGCCAACTTGTTTAAAGAGCAGCATGCTCACTATAGTACAAACTCACAGGAGATCTTTACATTGCTTTGGAGTTTGATCATGAGCATTTATGTGGTAAACAGTTGCACACATTTCTACTTTGACACACTTGGATAAGAAGCTGTTCGTTCAATCATCATCAACACCATCCTTCTCATCGTGATCATCACCATCACCACTACTTCAACTCCATGTCACCAACAATAAGCCCTCATAGAATAGCAGAGGGAGGTGTGTATACCTGGTAGGCTCGTGTCTTCACAGCGATGGCAGCATTTAAGGGGATCAGCAGGATCATCACAGCAACACCAGCCAGCACTGACGGACCCAGGTTCTACAATACAGAGATAAGGCATGACCAATCAACACAGACACTGACCAAGGTTCTAGAATAGACAGACAAGGTATTAGCAATCAAAACAAAAACAAGGCATGATCAATCAACACAACAGAGATGGACCCCAGACAGACCACGTATGACTAATCAACACAGAGAGCAGGGGTGTAATCATTAGTTGGATTAAGTTGCAAAACGTTTAGTCTGTTGCAAAATGTTTTGCATCGGAAAAACGTTTACCGCTGACTCTAGGAACCAAACGGGAGCAAAAGGAATGAAACGAAACAGGGAGGGACCTAGAAACTCTTGTTTCCGTTGCTAAATGTTTTCCGTTTGGAGTAGACGGTTTCCGTTGCCAAACATTTTCTGTTGTAAACGGAATCCCACTAATGAATACGCTCAAGGCACAATCATTCTGGATCTCATCTCATTAGATATATTCCCCATACAGTGCACTACTTTTGCTATGGTGGAATAATAAACCCACCTCCATGGTAAGAACCCACCTGCCACAGGAAGTATAGTGCCAGTATGATCTGAAGTGGGGCGGACCACAGCATGTTGAGAAAGGTGGTGAGATCCATGAAGCGCTGAGCGTCGACTGACATCAGGTTGACTATCTCTCCCACTGTAGATGTACGCTTGGCCGCGTTAGTGATGATCAGAGACTAGGGAGAGAAAGAAAGGACAGAAGAGAAAGACAGAAAGACTCAGTATTTTCATGTGTGTGTGTGTGTGTGTGTGTGTGTGTGTGCATGCTTCGGCTTGTGTACCTTCCTGTAGATGGCTCCTATGATGGAGGTACGAAGCCTCATGCCAGTGACGAAGCAGTACTGGAAGTGTTGGTGCAGGATGAGAGTCTGGAGGAAGGCGGTGAAGAACATGAGGAAGGCCAGGGCATAACCCCACCAGGTGGGAGCTCCCTTCTGCTTTGTGAACACGATCAATAACCTGGAGGGAGGAGAGAGGAAGAGGGGGGGGGCGGGACAGGAGGAGAGAAAAAGATAGGAAAAGAAAAGGAGAGATGGAGAGAGAGTGATGGGGCAGGGGCAGGGGGCAGGGGGCAGGGGGCAGGGGGCAGGGAGAGCAAAGGGAAAGAAGTGGAAGTTTATTATTCCTGTCAAGAAAATGTCTTGCAGCTCAATTGGTAGAGCATGGCGCATGTAACGCCAGGGTAGTGGGACCACCCATACGTAAAAATGTATGCACACATGACTGTAAGTAGCTTTGGATAAAAGCGTCTGCTAAATGGCATATTATTATTATTATTATTATTATAACATACTCAATATATACAGATAATATGTGATCCGAAAGAGCAAGCTCTAGGGTAAGCTCTTACATTTGAGTCATTTAGCAGACGCTCTTATCGAGAGTGCAGCTTTTCCTTTCCTTTTAAAATACTGTATTTTAACACTAGTTAAAAAAGGCTTTGATAGCTGCTCAAAGACAAAAAAGCACAAACATCTCAGAGCAAACTGACACACCACAAACAAGAACAATGTTGTCCTGTCACCTTGTAAAGCTACAAGGAAACAAATTCTCAAATTCTAAAATATATCTCTGTATTCAGATCTTTATCTTTATTCAGACCACATTCAGCATGTTCATCTGCATTTGACATATACGCTTCATAAGGGTTTATAATGCTGCGCAGTGCTCCATTTACTTGAGGAGCTGTGGGTTAACAAAGGTGATGAGGTCCTGTAGGAGTTTAAAGGCAGATCCGATGAGGAAGTAGGGTCCAAAGGCCTTGATGAGGGAGCGGAGGAAGGAGGGCTTCTTGGGGTCTTTCTGTTTGGACAGCAACACCTCCACCTCCTCAGGACTGCTCTCCCCCCCTACGTGGTTGGACTCTCCCACTGGCGGAGGCTTGGAGTACAGAGCCTGGGTGGACTGGTCCTTAGCACTGTGGAGAGAAGGGGTGGAAATAGGTTCCAAGTAGAAGAAGCATTCATCAAAATCAGCTTCTACCCTTGAACATGAAGTTAGCAGATATACTGTATATTTACGCATTATTTTCTCACACAATCTGAATGTGGAGGGGTTGGATTCCAACAGTCAATGAAACACAACCCTCCCTCACACCTCCAAACAGGTTTGAGCAATTACAGGCTTAGGTCTCTCTTTCATATCACTTTACTGGTTCTTCTGTTTACTGAAGGAAAACCAGACAGAACTTGGCAGAGAAACTGAAGATTAGTGAAAGAGAGAGAGAGAGAGCACGAGAGCGAGCGAGAGCCAGAGAGAATGTTTGGAACAATGATGGAGGTTAGAGTTCAGCATTCAGCAGACACTCCCAAGCTGGTGTCAAGTGTGTTTGGACAAGAGTTATATTGACTTTTTTGTCATTTCCCAGACGCTCTTACAGTTAGTGCATTCATCTTAAGGTAGCTAGGTACAACAACCACATCTCAGTTTTTGAAACTTAAACTTTCCTCAATAAAGCAGCTCTCTGCAAAGTCAGTGCAGGTAAGAAACAACAAAAGCACAACGTACTATGGGGCTCATGGCTATGTAGTCTGGTAGACATATGTCCAGCTTAATAAGCTGAAGCAGAAAGCAGTTTCAGCTAATTGTTTTTTGCTCTTGAAAGCTTGTTTGACAAGTTTAAGCAGAAAGCTTTCTAGTTAAAGGTTTTTGTGGTAGCCACCTGCTTTGATAAGATAAAGTGGAAGACAAGACATTTTCAAAAGAGAAACTTTATATAAATCCAATCAATTATTCATATCGTAGGATTGGGATTAATTGTAAAAAATGGTTGTCTTTTATCAGAGAAAAAGCAGGTACTTTCTATTCAGAGCAGAAAGCAGGCTTAATCTGGCTACCAGCCAGGCAATAACAGACAGATTTTCACTCCGCTGCTTTCCAGTCACATTCCAGTCTTCTTCATTCACTGCAGCAGCCTGTTGGAATGCTCTGTATGATGTAAACAACGTACCAATGTTCCATCTGTGTGTTTTGTTACGATTTCTCTCTAACTGATCTTACTGATCTGTGGTGCGATTTCTATCTTTGATAGTAGCATGTTTGATTTACACTGACTCAACATATGAGGGCGGCTGGTAGCTTAGTGGGTAAGAGCGTTGTGCCAGTAACCGAAAGGTCGCTGGTTCTAATCCCCGAGCCGATTAGGTGAAAAATCTGTCGGTGCCCTTGAGCAAGGCACTTAACCCTAATTTGCTCCTGTAAGTCGCTCTGGATAAGAGCGTCTGCTAAATGACTAATTATTCATTTATTTTATTTATATTAGGTGCTGCACAATCCAGTGGTTTCTATCCTAACATGTGTTTGAACAGATATGAGAGATACTGGCTGGCGCCACATGAAAAACACTTTATCTTTCTCACACACGTGCACATGCACAAACACAAGCATGCACACTCAAGCCAAGCCTATGAAGACAACTTCCTCCCTCAGCTCTCCACAGTTCTGGGAAAGATGTGAAAGGGCAAACTACTGTTGACTTAGGCTGTGTCATTTGGCTGTGTAATCTTAAACAAGAGCATGAGAAACCCTTCTCTACACATTCGTACTACTGGGTCAATGTTGTTGTAACAAGTAAAATAAGGAAATAAGGGTACTGATTTTCAAACTGTGTATAACAAAACATTGTATTGTTATGTTTTTACTAAGAAGTAGTGAAATTATTGGAAGCCTTTGAGATAAGAATCACCAAATAGAATGTGTCCATTGCAGGAAAGATTGAGGAAATTTGGATGCTGGTCTCAACTCTAAATTTCTTAGAAATATACACTGAACAAGAATATAAATGCAACATGTAAAGTGTTGGTCCCATGTTAATGAGCTGAAATAAAAGATCCCAGAAATGTTCCATACACACAAAAAGCTTATTTCTCTCAAATGCCACTGGCATGCTGGAGAAGTGTGCTCTTCACGTATGAATCCCGGTTTTTAACTGTACCGGGCAGATGGCATTGTGTGGGCAAGCGGTTTGCTGATGTCAATGTTGTGAACAGAGTGCCCCTTGGTGGCGGTGGGGTTATGGTATGGGCAGGCATAAGCTACGGACAACGAAAACAACTGCATTTTATCGATGGCAATTTGAATGCACAGAGATCCCGTGACTAGATCCTGAGGCCCATTGTCGTGCCATTCATCATGATAATGCACGGACCCATGTTGCAAGGATCTGTACACAATTCCTGGAATTTGAAAATGTCCCAGTTCTTCCATGGCCTGCATTCTCACCAGATATGTCACCCGTTGAGCCTGTTTGGGATGCTCTGGATCGAACGTGTACGACAGCGTGTTCCAGTTCCGCCAATATCCATCAGCTTCGCAGAGCCACTGAAGAGGAGTGGGACAACATTCCACAGGTCACCATCAACAGCCTGATCAACTCTATGTGAAGGAGATGTGTTGCGCTGCATGAGGCAAATTGTGGTCACACAAGATACTGACTGGTTTTCTGATCCACGCCCCTACCTTTTTTAAAAGGTGTCTGTGACCAACAGATGCATATCTATATTCCCAGTCCTGTGAAATCCATAGATTAGGGCTTAATTTATTTATTTAAATTGACTGATTTCCTTATATGAACTGTAACTTTGAAATTGTTGCATGTTTATATTTTTGTTCAGTATAATAATACTTTTTCAGTTTCCTATACTACCTCCCACCCTCCCTCTATCTCCATCCCTCCCTACCTGTGAGCCTTGGCCTGCTCCACCTCCCACTCCCGCAGTAGCTTGGGGACGACCACCTCTGAACTGTCCCCCTTGTTTAGTGACCACAGGTCTTTGGCTTCCAGAGGGTTCTTATAGCCCTTGATGGCCATGCTGGGACAGAGAGGGACACAACACATTAGTGGAACTTCATGAAGAGCAGGTTCCTGGAAATGGCTTTATCAGTGTCCAGGAAACCAGGGCACAGAGAGAAGACTTGTTTGCAGTTCCATTGATTATTGATCAAATCTACTGATTGCTTGTGGGAATAAAATACTTGAACATGAAGTAGAAACAAGCCATACAAATGTATAGGATAGACACAATGACAACACCAAGACATAATTTTTGTACAGTATGTGTTGTATGGGGGAAATCGTGTTACCTAGTGAACCACCAAAAGGTCATAGTGGAGAGGAAACCAGCAGTCGATTGAGGACAAGGATTCTGAGGAGAAAATGGCAGAGTAAGAAGAGGCCACTGTGTGTGTGTCTGTGTGTGTATGTGTGTGTGTGTGTGTGTGTGTGTTGACTCACGGGGTCTGTGTCTATGTTGGAGAAAAGTGGGGGTTTCTCATTGAAGCAAGAGAAGATAAGCTCGGCAACGATCAGACTGAAGTAGAAATAAAATGTGGTGAAACGCAGCTTGTCTGAAATCTCACTCTGAAACACAAGAACGCAGAAAGACTTTATTGACCCGTTGGAGGACATTTTGTTATGAAAGCCATTTCTTAAGGAAGCTGACAGACAATACACTAACTGTCTTAGTCTCCTAAAATGCTCTCTTAGATATCTATGATCAGTCCCCCCAAACCCTGCTGAGCTAAAAACTACTAAGTCATCCAAAATCATTCCTTTGTCTCCCTGACCATAAGCCATTCAGTCAAATGAAATATATAAACACAACTAGGGGCTATTTGGTAGGATCAATGGGATTATAAATAGCCAGAGCGAGAGCACAGGACTGATATTGGCCTGGTTTGACCCCACTGTTAGGGCATTAGATTATGTTAGAGTATTAGACAGCCCTCAGTAGGTTAGGTTAGATAAGACGGCTAAGGCCCTGCAGGTCGCTAGGACAACAGATCGATCTCTCTCTCGCTCTCTCTCTTTCTCTCTCTCACACTCTCTCAATTCAATTCAATTCAAGGGCTTTATTGGCATGGGAAACGTATGTTAACATTGCCAAAGCAAGTGAAGTAGATAGTAAACAAAAGTGAAATAAACAATAAATATTAACAGTAAACATTACACTCAGAAGTTTCAAAATAATAAAGACATTTCAAATGTCATATAATGTATATATACAGTGTTGTAACAATGTGCAAATAGTTAAAGTACAAATGGGAAAATAAATAAACATAAATAGGGGTTGTATTTACAATGGTGTTTGTTCTTCACTGGTTGCCCTTTTCTTGTGGCAACAGGTCACAAATCTTGCAGCTGTGATGGCACACTGTGGTTTTTCACCCAGTAGATAAGGGAGTTTATCAAAATTGGGTTTGTTTTCCAATTCTTTGTGGATCCCTCTCTCCTCTCTCTCTCTCCCTATCTCTCTCTCTCATCCGTCGCTCCTTCGATGATCGTAGCTATCGCTCCTCTCTCTCTTCTCCACTCTCTCGCCTATCTTCCCTCTCTCTCTCGCCTCTCTCGAGAGAGCTCTCTCTCTCTCTCTCTCCCCTCTCCCCCTCCTCTCCCTCTCCCTCCCTCCCTCCCTCCCTCCCTCCCTCTCCCTGCGTAACCCCCCAAAAAAAACCAACCATAAGTTCTTTAGCCAGGGAAGGAAGGGGGATGGGGAGAGGGAGGGAAGGAGGAAGAGGGGGGCGATAAACATGTTTTGAGAGAGGGAAAAGAGGAAGGAGAGAGCTGGAGGGAGATGATGCAGACTATACATTTTAAACATCTCCTTCACTTCCTATTCAGTACACGTTAGGGGAAACCCTGATCTTACCTGATATTTGGCCTGTAGGATCTTGGAGCGGAAAGGCACTATGGCACACAGCACTGACAGGAACCAGAATATAAAGAGAATTCCTGAAGACTGGACCCCTCTCAACCTCTCAAACTGTATCAGAAACGTAGCTAGCAACTGAGAGAGAGAGGAGGGAGAAAGGGAGAGTGAGGGAGTGAGGCGTTGAAATAACACGATTTAGATAAGCACAGAAACACACAGGGCATGTAAGATGAACATGCATCTCAGCTCTGCTCTCTCCTTCGCTCACTCATGCATAGGGCATGAGAGAGAGAGAGAGAGAGAGAGAGAGAGAGAGAGAGAGAGAGAGAGAGAGAGAGAGGAGAGAGAGAGAGAGAGGAGAGAGAGAGAGAGAGAGAGAGAGAGAGAGAGAGAGAGAGAGGAGAGAGAGAGAGAGAGAGAGAGAAATGTGAGATATAAAAACAACAACTTGTGAACCAGCATAGCAACTGCTCCACAACGATGCCTGTGAATAACAGCACGTTCACTAGGCTTATTCTACACCTTAGAGAGCACAACATACTGTAAAGGCTACTGGAATACAATGACAATCTAATCATCTACAACAACAATCAAGCTGGTCTCCCAGACTAGACGTAACATAGTAAACGAAAGTCCGGGACACTCAAATTAGTATGATATGTTACCTTTGATATGGTTACATAAAAGGGAAGGTTACTTAAGGAAAAAACGAAAGGAGGGTGGTTGGTCGTTATGGATGGATGAGCGTATAACACCAATGTCTAGCAACCCAAAGGTTGCGTGTTTGAATCTCATCACGGACAACTTTAGTATTTTAGCAACTTTGCAACTACTTACTACTTTTTAGCTACTTTACAACTACTAAGCATTTTTTTGCTTCCCCTTAACCCTAACCCTTTAACAACTCCTAAACCTAACTTAGCTAACGTTAGCCAACTAGCTAACGTTAGCCACCTAGCAACCTAGCTAATGCTAGCCACAACAAATTAGAATTCGTAACATATAAGTATTGCAAATTCGCAACATATTGTACGAATTGCAATTCGTAACATGTCATACGAATTGAAATCGTGCTTCCACCCATCCAGGACATCTACTCAAAATGGTGCCTGAGGAAGGCACGCAGCATCATCAAGGACCCCACACACCCCAGCCACGAGCTGTTCTCTCCCTTAGCATCGGGCAGACGGCATCAGACCATGAGGTCTGATACCAAAAGGCTCAGAGACTGTTTCTATCTATAAGCCATCAGACTGCTGAACACTTGAACTGGACTGACCACCTGCTCTGAATCTCCGCACCTTAGCACACATCACAACTGCTGCTACCAGACTCTTATTATACTGCTCAGTTTAAACACTTGCTCCCCATCCCCCCCTTCCCCAAAACACATGTAAATATTGTACTATAAATTGTGCCTTCCTGTATTATACTTATACTAAAATTGTTATTCTATTCTACTGCCATTTACTTCATGTTCGTATTCTTATTTTTTTCAATTTCTTATGGTTGTTGCATTGTCGGGAAGGAACCTGCAAGTAAGCATTTCATTGGACAATGTATACCATGCATATCCCGTACGACTAATAAAACTTGAAACTTAAATTGTAAATCGTAACATATCATACGAAATGGATGATGGACATCCACAAATGAATACATACCATACCATACCAAACCAAACAACATATTATACTAATTTGAGTGTTCCAGATTTACGTTTACTATGTTCCGTCTACCCCTGAGTCCAGGTTGCAACAATACATACATGATTGATTGACTATGACAAGTTATGGATTCAAAATACTGGTCACTAAGCAACAAGGTATATAAGGTATTTTTCAGGAAGTGAGTTGAACGGTGTACTGTATGACTGTACTGTATGTTTACAACGCCACATCCCTGTTTGTTGTGTACAAGTACCATCGTCATGCCGACCACCAGTGGAGTGACGAAGTAGATGGGTGGCTGTGTGTCCCCCTGCTGCAGCTCATGGAAGGTGCCGAAAAGATCTGTCCAACACACGATCCACAACGCCAACCCAAAGACCTAGAGGAGGAAAGGGGAGGGGGGAGAAAGAGAGAGAGAAATAGACCCAAAACTGAGCAGGAGTCTGGTACGTTTCCCAGTACTGGTCATTAGCCTGTCTGATAAATATTTCCACTATTCCCCTATCGTGCATCAACTAACTCATCTAATAAGGGCCTCAGGCAACAGACAGTATTGCATCGAGAGAGAAAGACAGAGAGATGGAGACAGAGAGATGGAGAGAAAGACAACCGGACAGACAGTGTATGCATGTCCACCTACAGCAGTCCAGTGCGTGGTGTGGTCCCTCACCGTTTTGACTCTGTTGAGGATGGACATCATGATGTAACCCTTGTTGTTCCTCTGGAGGTAGAAGAGGTATGGAGGGCAAGCAAGCCACAGGTACACACAAGGCAGCCATGACAGCACTGACAGCTGGAAACACTCCGGCAGGTCTGGGCTGTCTGTGTGGAGCGTCTGATTGGCTACCTGGAATCAAATAAGACGGAGACCAATGGGATGAGACCAATACCCTTTAAATGTCAAATCATCAAACACTTATCCAGTGGGGCATGACATTAGCTGTCTTAGGGGTCGAGAGAGGGACACGCACACGCTTGTGAAAAATGTGATAGGTTGTTGCTGTACTTAGCCTAGTTACGTACAAGGGACAGTGTTCATACTGTAAACTTCCATGCAAATGTAGAGGGGAAAACCACAACTTGGCGGCTAGGTTGAATCACGGACACTAAGAACTGAGTAGTTCTTAGAAGCATCTTGTGATACTGAAACAAACTGCATTACTCTCAAACATCCTATTTCATAATAAGAATAGTTTATTACATTTTTAAAGCACTTTTCATTATACAAGAATAATCTCAAAGTGCATAAAAGATCAAATAGAAAAATAGTTTAAAAACTAAACAAATACACTGAGTGTACAAATCATTAAGAACACCTGCTCTTTCCATGACATAGCTTTCACCTGGATTCACCTGGTCGGTCTATGATCCCTTATTGATGTCACTTCGTAAATCCACTTCAATCAGTGTAGATGAAGGTTAACAAAGGATTTTTAAGCCTTGAAATAATTGAGACATGGATTGTGTATGTGTGCCATCCAGAGGGTGAATGGGCAAGACAAAAGATTTAAGAGCCTTTGAACGGGGTATGGTAGCAGATGCCAGGCGCACTGGTGTCAAGAACTGCAACACCGCTGTGTTTTTCATGCTCAACAGTTTCCCGTGTGTATCAAGAATGGTCCACCACCCAAAGGCCATCCAGCCAACTTGACACAACTGTGGGAAGCATTGGAGTCAACATGTGCCAGCATCCCTGTGGAACGCTTTCGACACCTTGTAGAGTCCATGCCCGACGAATTGAGGCTGTTCTGAGGGCAAAAAGGGGGGTGCAACTCAATATTAGGAAGGTGTTCCTAACGTTTGGTATACTCACTGTATATGCCATTTAGCATATATTTATAGCTTATGGTCATAGTTAACTCCATTCTATTTCAATAAAGCGAAGTTAAAGGTCCAATACAGCTCAATATCAAAATAGCTTCTTAGCAAAGAGCCATTTCTCAAGCAAGAATTTGGTAGGACTGTCTGGGAGTGGTCTGAGTGGGGAGGGGAGAACTGAAAACTAGCTGTTATTGGCAGAGAGGTTTGGAACTCTTTCTTATTGGTCTATTAACTAATTTACCGCCTGATGTCACCAGGCAGGCCAAAACTCCATCCCACCAAAACAGACTGAAGTTTCAGCCAGTCTTTTCAAACAGCTCTTGCACTAAAAGGGCATTATCATTTTCACAATATTATTCCAACCTCATACAGTAGTGTGAAAATGTATACAAAACACAGTATAATCTCATTTATGACTGCACTGGGCCTTTAATTAAACCAGAGTCAGTGAGACTGGACAACAAGGCAGGGACTCATAATGAAGACAAGTGACTGCTTATTACATTTCTGTCAGAGCTTACTTCCTTTTAATCATTTTAGGGCTCAAAAGAGAACAAATATAATATTACAGGTTAGCATATGTACAGTATGCAAATAAGGTCATTTCCCAGTAAAGTTATGGGACCCGGTAAGTCATCATAGTCATAAACAGACATTTGCTGTTATAACTCCTAATGACAGCTGCTATGTCAGTCTTATGACTGTGGTCCTCTGTAGCTCAGCTGGTAGAGCACGGCGCTTGTAACGCCAAGATAGTGGGTTTGATCCCCGGGACCACCTATACACAAAAAAAAAAATGTATGCACGCATGACTGTAAGTCGCTTTGGATAAAAGCGTCTGCTAAATGGCATATTATTATTATGACAGTGCTATGTAGGCATTATAGCATAACTAACACAACTAAAGTGCTACCGGTTTTGTGAGGCCTGATAACAATCCCAAAAGCCAGTGTGAGTTTCTATGGAAGTGTTTACCATGAATAGCTAAAGGATGCAGCCATATCTCAAAGACATGAGAGGAAAGCATATCGTATCAAACTTCATATCTGCAGTGTGGCAGGCAGCCAGTGGTGAATGTGCTTTTAAGGACCAGCCAGTGGTGGAACAGAGTAGAAGAGGCCCAACCCCAGATACTTTGCTAGATAAACACAGCTGCCCATGTTTCTGCCTGTCGGCACCCATCAGGGGAGTGTGTGTGAACGTGTGTGCATGAGTGTGTGTACACACGCCGTGTGTATATGTGTGTGTGGTGTGTGTGTTTGTGCGCATGTGTGTCTGTATGACCACAGCTGGACAGCGAAATTTATAAATATTTGTGAATATGATAAGCAAGACGTCATTTATTTGTAGATATTCACGTTGCCAGACTTGATTAAGGCTAATTTGTTCAGATGCCCTTTTAAAGCCAAAGAACTCACATGTACCATTCCATTCCTTCCAATTAAACCAGTATAAATCAGTTGACAACAATGAATGCGGCACTTTGGTCTCCAGTAGGCCTATAGTTATACATATAATTACTTTACATTTGGCCCATCTGCTTAAATGGCCAGGATGAAAGAGCAGACCATGACTGAAAGAGCAGAGCATCATGACTGAATCATATTATATGACAGGACACAGTAATACACAGTATGGTTGTGTAAATCAAACTGAACTGAATGAAGTGACTGAATAAAGTGAAGGTTTGCCCCTAGCCTGGCTAACAAGCCAAACTCTGTATAACCATGTTGCTAGTTTTCCATTGTACCACGTGGTATGTTGCGTCAGGCTAGGCGCCTCCCCAGTGTGGTCATTATTTAGCTGCATCACTAGCTCAAATAAATATCACACTAGGGAACAGCCTGAGCATTAGAAAACAAAACACATTGACTTTGCGCTCAGTGAGTCACAAAGCGTGGCCTTTGCCTTTCCTCTCTATGTGATGAGAAAAATGGCCAGGTCTGCGGATAGGTTGTGGTGTGTAGAGTAGAAGCTACGGTTGGATGGTAGGTTGTGGTGTGTAGAGTAGAAGCTACGGTTGGATGGTAGGTTGTGGTGTGGTGTGTAGAGTAGAAGCTACGGTTGGATGGTAGGTTGTGGTGTGTAGAGTAGAAGCTACGGTTGGATGGTAGGTTGTGATGTGTAGAGTAGAAGCTACGGTTGGATGGTAGGTTGTGATGTGTAGAGTAGAAGCTACGGTTGGATGGTAGGTTGTGGTGTGTAGAGTAGAAGCCATGGTTGAGCAATACTGTAGGTTGTGATGTGTGTGGTAGGTTGTGTTTTGTAGAATGGCAGCTATGGTTAGCCTAACTGTTTATATCTACTGTAATGACCGGCTGGTACATGTGTGATACACCCCAGCCCTTCCTTTCTGTAGAGTCTGCTTGTCTCATCAACCTTCAGTACAGATGGCGGATGGTTAGCAGCACTAGTCAGTATTTACTGTATGTTTTGCATCTAAAATCAGGCCTGCTGGGTTGTGTTAACCAGTTTGAGAGCGGTAGCTAGCAGCCATCTCTCTGCTAATGACTTTAGTGTCCTTGTCCTGGAGAACAAATATTACATTACGGGGGTGATACTGAAGTATGTAGATACATAGCTGTTTGTCCAAGGAAGGTCACCTTCCTTTGATGCCAGTGACAAGGCTGATTCGAGAATGAATGCAAATGTTTGGCCGGTTATTATTGCTCAGTTTATCATTGGGACCAATTCTAGAATCAAACTCTACTTTTTGGTGTAGTAATTAACATTAATAGTCCTTTGACATCAACACGTCAAGAGTTATAGCGTCGCAGTGTCATGGTGAGTCTAGAAGCTAGCTTTTTTCTCCCATCCCCCATCTAGGGAAATTAATGTATGTAACACCCTCTGTGAGCATGATTGATAACTTTGCATTGTCAAGGTAGTGTATGCAAATAAATCATGGGCTGACACAAGTAAGGCAAAAGGAGACAGAGAGGAAGAAAGAGTAGCGGGAAGCATTGCTTTTGCGGAGCACGAGTCCCATCTCCCAAATGGCTAGAATGGCGGAAACTGATAACTGACAAAATTGTATGCACTCACTATTGTAAATCACTCTGGATAAGAGTATCTGCTAAATGTCTCAAATGTAAGAGAGATGGGCAGATGTATTTCTACATACAACAAAGGAATGGTGTAGGTGTGCGACTACACTGTAGAGATGTGCTATCTTAATTTGACCAGTTTCTCACAGCAGGAAAATAATCCTGCAGCAACAGGAAATGTGAATGATTATGTGGATTATTTAAGTGATAATGCCAGAGAAGCCGGTGTTTGGAGGATATATTGGCACGGGTGTTGTTAGGCCCGAGCTGAAGTTGAGGGCAGGCAAACCGTGCCAATATATCCTCCAAACACCGGCTTTGAGGGCATTATCACTTTTATACAATGGGTTACCAACATAATAATGGTTGAAATATTTTCATTAAAAACGTTATTTTTATGAATTTATTCATACCATTTCATCCTTCCACAAGATATAGTCCCGACACAAATCTAGAGTTGATACCCAAGCCGGCTGGTCGTTCGTTCTATCGGTTCGGTTGCCAGAGACGCGACCCAGTCGTTCAGTCTTTTTGTTCTGTATCTATGGACACGACCCAATCGTTAGTTCTAAATGTTCTATTGCCATACTAGCTGGTAACGTTCTTATCCCTTGCTTGCTAGCTAGCCAACTACGGTTTACTTACAGTCACGTCAAACAATGCAGCCAGAATAACAACAAAGTAGCTGCATTTGCATTTGTTTAAGCTGTTTTCTAGTGACATTTATTTGGAAACATCCATAACAATGAGCTAATGAGGCGCGATTTCCCCTGGCATAGAAAATGTGCTCACTCGTCAGGACACTGTTGTTCAGAGGAGCTAGCCAACAACAGAGCTAACACAATCACTGCAAACTGAAGCTGGAAAAACTGCAAACTAGCTGCACTTTGTTTCGTTTTACAATTTTTCAATTGACATCTCTTTGTATATATCCATAAAAGTGAAGAGGCGACTCCGGGATGCTGACCTTCTAGGCAGA